TTCCTTCCGGGGAAAGAGAAAAGGTCCCGGCTCCGCCGCCGCCTCTTAAAGGGGCAGCAGCGCCCCTCCCTCCTCATCCTCCCTAACCCGGCTCCGCCCTCTCCCCCAGACACCTGTCGGGAGCCCCCAAAGGCTTGGATTTCCCCTCCCCGCCCCTTGCTTCTCCCGAGCAGCGTCACCTCCCGAGCAAGATGGATTGGACAGGCGGGGCCGGGGGTGGGATCTGTCCTGCCTCTTTGCTGCGGCTGCTACGGCTGCTGGAAAGGCGGTTCCGGACGCGGCCACCTCTGCGGGTCAGGGTGGAGAGCCTCAGCGCTGGCGCATAAGGGAACCTACATCGCAAGCCACTGGCTGGAATGCCCTACTCGCCTCCGCTGCGCTGTGAGTCTCTGAGAGGCTGCTAGCGGTCTCTGGGCGTTCTTCCTCGTACCCAGCCCCTTCGTCGTCCTTGTCAAAATTTATTTCTTTTGCCAACCTGCCCCCATCCACCCTAATCCGTGCTGGGAATGGTCTCTCAGCAAAGCTAGACAGATATTTAGCAATGGGAATAACCAAGCATCACTAATGTTAATTAACAATAAGATAGCATTTTCCCCGAAGGGATGTAATTTCTGATACCTCTTGTATCATCGCTATCCCGTCGATGTGAAAATAAGTCTCTTCTCCTTAGAATGCAGTGCGTGGCCGGAGAGCTCGGCCCAGACTGTACCCATTTCTCATCCACCCCTGCCTTCAGGGCCCAGCCCAGCAGAATCCCAAAGGTCCCCTCCTCCCACCCAGGCTCCAACTGAGACTGGGTGAGGACTCACGCCCCTACAGGTGTGTCGTGGGTGGCACCAGGGGGAGGTAGGAGGGCGGGGCCCAAAGGTCTAATAATCTGCAAAAGAATCGTAATGAAAAAGGAGCTTCGAGAGATACTTGTACTTTCTTGAGTCTAACGCAGATTTCCCTTATTGCAGCACAAAAACCCATTTCTCCTGAGCATTCCTTTTTCTAGGCTAATGGAGCTTTCCTATTTTGGTCCAGGAGTTCAGTCCTTAGCAGCTCATTCCCTTGAAGTTCATTTTAGAGCCCCTATCTCTGAGAGTTTATAAAAACAAACAAAAAACATCATAGGGTAGTGCTTGTACAGTAGAAACTATGCTAAGTGCTTTACAAATATTATTAAATTAAATCCTCACAACAATCTTTGAGGTGTTAGCTCTGCTATAAGATGAGACAACCGAGGCTCAGGGAGGTTAAGCAACTTGAAGGCAACACAACTTGGATTTTAATCCTGTGTTATCTGACCCCAGAGCCCTTCTTGACCACTTATGCTAATAATTAACATTTGTGCCAGACCCAGGGCAGATCTAAGTTTGGTAGGGCCTGAAGCTTGTACAATTTGGAGCCCTCTTTAAGGAAAAGGATAAAGAATTTGGAGTACAGAATTAGATTCAGAGGAAGGGACTTGAGCTGAACTTGACAGCTTATGAATCCTTTCAAGTGCAGACTCATTTCATTCTCCTGGCCTCATTTGACTTCTCATTTGACTTAAGAAAGAACCTGGATGTCCAAGGTCACACAGCTCATGGGAGGCAGAGCTTGGACTGGAGGTCACAGGCCACAGCTGTGTCTTTAAAGAGACAAACTCCAGGCAGATGTTGGTCAGGCAAACAGACATGCCTGAACAAAAGCAGCTGTAACAGCAACGTTCTCTGCAGTATTTGGAGAGAGGACACTTGTCCCTGTCTGTCCTTAGGGCAGTGTTTGTTCCTGAGCCATGACTCTCAGAGCTGCCCAACCTCTCTCGGTGGTCTGCCCTGTGGCCCAGAGCCTCCAGGGGTTGGGAGATGTCGGGCAAGGAACAGGAAGCTGACTTGGATGGAAGTGGAACAGTTACCTTGCTCTCCGTCCAGCTGGCTGCTGGGTCCCCCATCTCGTTCTTGGAGAAAGGGAAGCATCCAGGGCCAGGAGTTCAAGGGCCAGAGTGGACATGAGTGTGGGCAGGGGTCTCACCTAAAACAGCTTTGAGAGTCCTGTGACGACAGATGGGTTCCATGCCAGGCGTTATCTCTTTGGCCATCCCAAACAGGAATGACCAGCATGTCCGATCCTGGGGCTCGGAGCAGGAAAAGGATGAGGGTGGTTTTTCCACTCCAGGGGAGTGTCCAGAGGGAATGTGGGAGCGGGAGCAGGGCCGCCTGGTAGGGGGAGGGCCAGAGCTAAGGAATGTGGGGGAGTGTCAGACAGATCTGGGGGAGATGGAATGGGGATGGAGGGAGATGTGGGGACTGGAAGCGTCTCTGGGCTGGAAAGATGCAGAAAGAGAAATCCCAAGTTCATGTCGAAGGTCCAAATCCTCTGATGTTAGTGACATTATCATCCGTAGCCTCAAGTGATCTTTCAGTGGCTTTATCACTCCAACCCTTCCCTGTGGAGAAGGGACCCACCTAGAAATGTAGACACAGAGAATAAAATGTGTAATGAGGAGTCCAAGCCCAGTTTTTTGATGTTTGACTGCTGACACCTTTGAAACCATCCCCTCTCCCTCTTGCCCTTGGGCCCCGCACCTGGACAAGCTGATGAAAAAGCCTGATTTCCCTCCTTTGGCGTCCACGGGAAATTCGAACCGTGGAAACCCATTTCTGCACAAATACTTACTCAGCCTCACTCCCTCACCCAGTCTCCTTTCCTTGCTCTCTCAGGCCATTTGGACCTGCTTGAGGTGGGGGGGCGCCCCACTCCTCCAGAGACCTCAGTTATGTAAATAGTGAGCCTTTTCGTACCCTTTTGGTGTGTGTTTGACATCATCAGTTGTGACCTTGAACCAAATGTTGGATGGGGTCCATCTGCCTCTATGGGTGACCATAACAACATACAAACTGTAGGTTCTGCTGTAGGGTCAGGGAGGCTCCCTGAAGGAGGAGTACCTGGATAAGTGAGAAGAAAGGGACTAGCAAGAGGGAGCCTTGGGAAAGAAAGCAGAACAATTGGAGCCTAGTTTGCAGTGCAGTTTCCCAGTTGCAACATGACAATGTCTGTAAAGTTACCTTCCATTTATCCAGTGCTTGCTGTGTTCACACCAGCCTTCCTCTATGCCCCCCCACGCTCTTCCAGAGCCCCACCCGGACCACACCACTTCCTCACTTACTTCTCACTGGACGGGCAGCGTGTAGATGGAGAGATAGTGATGGAGGGGAATTGTGGTTCCCTGGGAGTGAATGCAGGCTCTCTTCTGCCCTCTCACCTTGGGCAAATTACTTTCCTCCTCCAGGCCTCAATTTCACCCTCTATGAAATGAAAGTTCTGAAAGAAATCCCTTATTATTCCTCATCAGGCAGCCCTCATGTCCCAAGGCTCCTAATATTTGTTGAACTAAGTGGACCCAATCTCAGCTATTGAATTAAGACTCAAGTCTCTATCTCAGACTTGAATTGAAAATGCAAATTACTGGGAGGGAGGGAGGAGCAGTGAAGCGTGAATGGGTTTATCAGATTTCCTTTCTCCTGTGACCCAGATATGGGGGCGGGGCAGGCACCCGGTCCAGAAAACTTCTCTGGCTCAGAATATGTCAGTCTCAAACATTCATTGACAACTGAACACATGTTGGCACAGAGCTGAGAACCTCCAGGGGTTCAAAGATGGATAAGAGCATCTTCAGGGGCCAGGGTTTCATCCTGGCCTTCCATTCTCAAAGCTCTCAAATTTAAACAGGCTAAACCCACATTGCATTATATTTTCGGGCTGGTGATTGTGGAACAATGAGGGATGTTAGAAAGAACATTTTAGCTACACCATGATGTTGGCATTGCCAGGAGGGACTACTCTGGAGGGCAGGAAGAGGCTGCTGTAATAATTTGGGCAATGGATGGAGTGGGCTAAGTGGGGGCAGGGGCAGAGGGAGGGAGGGAGGGAGAAGGACCCAAGGCGCGGATTTGACTTGGACTTCAGGTATGGATGTGGTGGGGTGCGTGGCGGGTGGGAGAGGGGAAGACCGGAGGGGTTCCAGGGATAAATGGGCAGTGACCCCCACGGAGGGGCCTGATGAGAGGACCCCAAACATCAGGAAACTTCCCTGCTGGCCAACCCCTTTGTTTTTCTACTTCCTCTGACCTTCTCCATAGGGTCCCCTCACTGCCCTCCATGGCCTGGCCTTGGGGCACATGCCCTGCCCTCCTGGCTGGGAGATTATGACTCTGGTGGGCTCTAGAGCAGTCCCTACCTCATGCCAAGATGGTCCCTTCAAGTTTGGGAGGCCATGGGGGCCCACCTGGTAACCCCAGCCAAGCTGAGCCATCAGCCCTCACCAGCCATTTCTTGGGGAGCCGCCTTCTTATTGGCAGGGTTCTGTGCTCAGGTGGGAAATCAGGACAGGTGGGGGACTTCATCCACCTCCCCCCCACACGCCTACTGACTTCCTAGAGATTCTTCTGGGGGTGGAGGGCCACGTGTGGTTGTCCGTGAAGCGCTCCTACGTGTATATTGATTGGGACACATGTCTGTGCACCTGGTCCCTTACGCCTTCACACATGTTTGACTAGGTGACTATGTGTCTCTGAGTGTTTTATGTAAAACTGAATTCAGAAAGGGAGCTAATGTTTACTGAGCACCTACTGTGTGTCCAACTCTTTATATGTGTTTTCTAATAACCTTATAAGATGGAGATGTCACTTACTTTACAACTGAGAATACTGAGATGCCCAGGATGGAAGAGGCGTGAGTACCTCCATCAGGAACCCCACTACCCTGGCCCCACCCCACCCACAGTCATCATGGGTAACTTCTATTCTTCCAGGACACTACAGCTTAGACAGAACATCCTCGGAGTGCAGTCACCTGTCTGCTCTCCCCAGAGTAGGGTTTCTACCCTCCAGTTACCTTGGTCCCATCTATCTCCTCAACCTGGCTTCAGCCTCCTCATCTCATTGAAACCTTACCTCCTTGGGCACCAGCTTCCTCTGATCGGTAAACCAAGCCAGTAGTCTTTGATTCTTTGCTGCTGACCTCTCTGCAGTGGCAGCAGTGACCCTGCTGACTGCCCTCTGTATTTAAACTCCTCTGTGACCTCTCTTAACCCTCCTTCCTGACTGTCCCTGCCCAGCACCCTCATTCCCTTGCGAGACTCCTCAGCCCACCCTGGGCTTCTGTTTATGGTTCTCATCCCTCTGCCTCCTGGGATCACCCTTGGTATATTAGCATTCTCCTCCATGCTGATGACTCCCGCCCAAGCACCTCCTCCAGGCTCCAGCCTTGATGTTCAACACCAGCTGGCCACTCGCAGGGTCCTCAGATTCTGCGTGTCTAGAACAGGTTCAGCATCTCCCCCTTGTCCCCACCACCTTCTCCCTTGTCCCCATGCCTCACCCCCAGCAGGATTCCATGACACACCAGAGCCAGTCTATGCCACTTGATCTTTGCCTATGCTGGTCCCTCTGCCTGCAATGCCCTATACCCCCTTGTCCACTTGGGAAATATCCACTTGTTCTTCAAAATCTTCCATGAGTTTTCACTTTCTTCCCTCACCCCTGCCCCCTGCACCTCTTTGTACACACACACACCCACACACAGAGATGTAATCACTACTGTGTCTTCCCGGCCTTGGCACTGACTTAGAGCCTGAGCTTCAGTGTGATTATAGATTATGGACTGACAGGGCTATGACCTTGGACAAGTCTCTTCGCCTCTCTTAGTCTCAGTTTCCTCACTATAAATTGGATGTAAAAATACCAGACTCACAGGTTTGTTGAAAAATAGCAGAATTGGGATCCAGAAATCACTCACCAAGAGCTAGCTGGGCTGACTGTTGATTACATCTGTATTTCCAGCACCCACAATGGTCCCTCACACACAATAGGTCTTCAACCACTGTTGTCTGGCTGGATTCAGGTGGCCACATACTCTTTATGGCCCTAAAAAAGGGAACCCAGTAGAGGTGACTGAGAGGCCAGTTTTGTCTCATAAATATCCTCTTGCTTCCATCCCCTCCCCCACCACGGGATCCTGTTGGGACAAACGTCTTGGCTCAGTGGATTGAAAAGGAAAGTCAGAATTCTGAGGCATGAATCGCTGTGCCCACTGACTCACTTCCTCCTCCCCGCCCTCCGGACGGGGCAGTCCAGAGCCCTGAGTAACACAGGTTGTTGCCTCCTTCCAGTTCTCAACCCTCATCAGCGGGTACCCCTGACCCTACTCCCTTGCTTCAGACCTCACCCCAAGCGGCTGGCTGTGGCAAGAAGGGCAGTGAGGCCAGTTATTGCTGATTTGGAATCTGCTTGCAAGTTTCAGCAAGCTAAAGAGTAGATTACAGGGCAGACTGAGTAGGGAGGCACAAGCCGGCTTTCAGGACCCAGTCTGATGTACAAGGCAGAGCACCCTGCGGGAGTCTGATCTGGGAGGCAGCAGAAGTTCCTCCTCCTCCTCATGGCTCTCTCCTTCCCTGCCGGGATCACAGAAACTCTCACCATTGGGCAACCTGCGTGTGGCTTAAGGCCCATCTCCTGAAGGTTCCTATTAAAATGCAGGGATCCTTACCTGGCAGGATAGCATGGGAGCTCTCTGGCAGGGATAAGGCAGGATGTTACAACATTACCCACAGAACCCAGGGCCCTGGGGTATAAATGACTCAGGCAGCCAGGAAGGTGGGGGGAGGGAGGAAAGGGTGGTGGGGGAAGAGCTGGGACAAAGAATGATTTAGTAGGGGTGGGCAGGGCGGGGGCAGGGCAGGCAGGGGTTCCAGACAGGCCCTGGTGCTGCCCTCTCTGGTTAACTGTTAGCATGAGGAGGACAATGATAGAGATTTTACTTTCCTAAAAGAATCCCCCAGGGTCTCAGCCTTTTCCCCCTAGGGGACCCCTTCCTCACCTTGTCCTGGACTTCAGGGACTCATCTGAGGGGAGAGGTCAGATAGGGCTTGGGGGATGCAAAGGCCACTTCGTCAGTGGCAGAACTGCTCTGGGTGGTGCCCCTGACAGGTGTAGCTCTGGGGTGGGGTGAGAGCCCAGCCCACCATGGGAACTCAGGGGTCGGTGGTGGGGAGAGGACAGCCAGAATCGTGGGGAGGGGCACACGAGGGCACTGAGATGCAGTAGGCAGGGCAGTGGGCAGCAGTCACAGGCACAGCTGGCTGTGAAGGATACATACACTCGGAAAGCACTAGGGCCTGGAGTTTGGGCTTCAGCTTGCTGGAACTGAAGGGAACTGATGAGAGTAACTCACGCCTGGGAGTAAGCTGATGATGGCTTTTGTGGATTCAGAAGCTTCCTTTGTTTGGGAATCAAGGAGACCCATTAGGGGCTGATGTGGGGACAGAAATGAGAAGGGATGATGGGCTGCCTTACTGGGAGATGTAGGTGGACTTGAGAGGTATTTGGGCGATAACTGTAGGTAGGCTGTGGGCTGCAGGGGACACGGGAGGGGTCAGCAGCAAGGACAGCCAGTGAGTCTGTGGGACCTCTAAGGTTTTCTAGATGGAGGCGGAGGTCTGGCTGGCAATCTCCCAGAGGGCTGGGGATAGACAAGGAGGCCAGAGCCCAGGAGGTGCACCCCAAACCCACTGGCAGAGGGAAATTCTTAGAGGCCTCTCCCCAGGAGCACCAGCCTGGGCTTTGACTTTGATCAGGCTGTTGTCAGCCTGGGCCCATAGCAAGCTCACCCAAGATATCCCCTGGGGCTCCGACTCCCACAGGCCTCTCACGCCTACACCCCAAGCTTCAGCCCCTCAGCTCTGCCCTTCCTTCTAGTCCCCTTGTGGTTCAAGCTCTTTAGTTCCCAGTTGTAACCCCAGGGGCCCCCACCTCATTCATTCTGTGCCCACCTTCCTCTCTGCACCCACAGACACCCTGGGAAGACCTCAGAGACTGCAACCCACATTTGCTCTGGCCCTACCTCCGGGAGTGGGGTCTCCCACCCCAATGCTGTCAGCCTCTAACCCACCTCTGGTCAGTTCTGAGCCCAAGCTTATTTGCAAAGGGGTGATGATCATGTCCAACTCTAGGGACCGTTGGGAGGTTAACTGAGATCACACATGAGGCACCTGACATCGGGCCACACACCATGCCTTTCCCTTCTCTTCTCCTAGACAGTTGTCGCCTGGCCCCAGGAAGCCCTCATCCTTTCCTCTGATCTGACCTCACTCAAAACACTACCTTGGATGCCTTGCAGAACCCAACCCAAAGCCCAAGTCTGGGGGCCTGATGTCCTCCATGACCGTCCTACTTATTTCTGCCCTTGCCTTCCACACTCCCATCCCCCTTCACGTAGTCCCAGCTGCCAGGCAGATCTTCGTCCCCTAAATGCCTGCTCGCCCCCTTCTTGAGACCTTTGCCTGCAAGCAGGGCTCCAGCTTCCTCCTGCCCATTGACAGTCCCCGTTCCTTCATGGCCAGCTGAAACCCATCATCTTCCCAGGCCCCCTGGGTCTCAATGGATGCTGTCTGCTCCAGCATAACCCTGTTTCTCCATCTGATAGAGCCTTTGTCCCACTTGGCCAGATGGCATTTATTAGCTTGAGCAAAGTTGCTTAAACTTTCTGTGCCTCAGTTTCTATCTCTGTAAAATTAAGTTAAAAATTGCACCCTAACCATAGAGTCATTGTGGAGAGTGAAAGAGAACTTACACAGGGTCTATCACATAGTAGTAGGTCAATAAGTGTTATTTTTTATTGAGATGGGGATGGAGGTGGAGGTGGAGGTGGCAGTGCCTGTTTCTCCCCCAACAGCTCAGTCCTCCAGAAAAAGTAAGCTCAGGCCTGCTTTTTCTCCACCGTGCCAAAAGCTCCTCCCACAGTGCTCTGCTCGGAGTGGAGGCCAATGATGTGCATCGAATTGAACTGGTCCATTGAGAAACTCACAAGGCTCCCTGTGGGTCCCCTTCAGCCCCATTCACTATGGGATGAGGACATGCCTATGTCAGGGAAATGGACCCCTGAGAGCTAGTGGAGGTATCTGCACCTGGGCAACCCCATCATAGCACTTCCATCACAGAGGAGCCCAGGGGGCCTTTCCCAAGGCTCAGACTGAGACCCCAACACAGGGATGGGGAGACAGGGGAAAGGGGGCATCCTGGAAGACTTCCTGGAGGAGGAAAATGGGGAGCGCTAGGCTGAGAAAAGGGAAAATATCTTTTATTGGAAGTATCATTGTACCAGGCCTCTTATGTACATTATGTCCTTTATTTTTCATAACAAGCCTATGAGGTTAGTCCTGTTATCCCCTTTTCCAGAAGAGGAAACAAAGGCCCAGACTGGCAGTGGCATGCCCCAGATCATGTAGCTGGTGGAGGGAGCAGGATTCTCATCTGGGTCTGTTGGGTTTTGAGGGAGGGCCCATCGGAGAGACAGCTGAAACTGAGGATGGTAGGAGAATTCCAGTCCCAGGTCAGCTGCCCACTCAGCCAGGGAGGCTGTGGGCGGGCGGAAACAGCCAGCAGAAGTGAGTGGCACAGGACAAACAAGGGTGCCAGGAAATGAACTTGACCTGGGGCCCTTTCTCCCGGCCAGTCCTGTGCCCCTGGCCACCTGCTGCCTCCCATTCTCGGCGCTTCTTCCAAGGGAACAGTGAAAGCTGGGTCAGAGCCCAGGGGATGGCCCTTGAAACCTAGGAGAAGCCCTGCTAGGTCTAAGCTCCCCAGGCAGACAGGTAGGGCAGGGTCCCAGGGGTCTTGTTCTGTTTGCCTCAGTTGGAGCTCAGATTGGAGCCCGGCACAGAGAAGGAACTCAGTAAATATGTGTTAAATGGGGGCTGAGCAGACATGGTGTCAAAACTGCCTGTGGGAGGCAGAGAGACCTGGTCCTGACATGGTTTCTGCCCCACTTTGTGACCCTGGGTGAGTCACAGGGCCTCCCATCCATCAGATCAGGTTGTTATTTTGGAATGTACCTCACATTCCAGGAAGCTTGAGGCCCTTTCAGCTCCGACAGTGCAGTTCCATTAAGTCTTTTACTCATTTGCTAAGTTGTTATTTCAGCAAAATATGTAGTAGAGCTCAATAAATATATTTTGGTACCAGTGAAGTAGCGGGCAGTGTGGTGGTGGTAAGCGAAGGTTGATGGGAGGACAGTGACTTGTTATGAGCAAGGGCTCTAGGGTTAGATGGTCTGGGTTCAGATTCTCCCTCCATCACTTGCTAACTGTGTAACCTTGAGCAATTTACTGAACCATGTGGAACTTTGATTCCCTCATCTGTAAAATGGGGATAATAGGAGTATATACATCACAGGGTTAGTGTAAGAATTGAATGAATAAAGTGCTACAAATAAAATGCTTAGGAAAATAGTGCATAGCAAGTGCTCAATAACGTTAGCTCTTATCATTCCTTAGAGGATGAGTGAATTTCAGCAGGAAAACATGGGAGTATGAACGTGGTAGCGGTTGGAGAAAGTGTTGGAGCAGCATATACTAAAGCATGGAGGCAGAAAAACCTAGTGCAAGTCTAAGGAAGAGCAAGAGGCCAGTCCTGATAAACTGGCAAAAGGCAAATTGGGGGAAGATGGTGGGAGGCCTTGGCCAGGCTAAGATACTTGGACTTGGATCGTGTAGGTCGGTATTTCCCAATTGGTGTTTCCTGAAGTACCGGAGTTCCAGGAGATGCTACTGGATGCTTTGTAAATACACATGGTGGCATCAGGGAGGACTGGATAGCCACGTGCAGAAGAACGGATCCCTACCTCAGATCACACGCAAAAATTTACTCAAAATGGATCAAAGACATAAATATAAGAGCTAAATGTATAAAACTCTTAGAAGAAAACATGGGGGTAAATCTTTGTGGTCTTGCATTTGGCAATGGATTCTTAGATATAACACCAAAACCACAAATAACAAAAGAAAAAACAGATAAATTGAATGCTCTGGTCTGGAAGTTTTTGTCCCCCCACCCCAACTCCAATTCATCTGTTGAAATCCTAATCCCCAAGGTAGTGGTTTTAGGAGGTGGGGCCTTTGGGAGGTTATAAGGCCTTGAGTACCAAGCCCTCATGACTGAGATTAGATTCCTTATAAAGGGGCCAGCAGAGCTGCCTAACCCCTTCTGTCATGTGAGCCTGCAACAAGAAGTCTGCGACCCAGAGGAGGGCCCTCACTCCACCATGCTGACACTCTGCCCTTGGACTCCTCAGTCTCTAGACCTGTGAGACCTATATTTGTTGTTTAGAAGCTTACTAGTCTGAAGTATCTTGTTCTAGCAGCCCAAATGGATTGAGACACTGCACTTAATCAAAATTGTGCTTCCAAGCACATCTTCCTGAAAGCAAAACATGGGGGGAGGATATAGCAAAAAGTGGTAGAGCACATGCTTAGCATGTACGAGGTCCTGGGTTCAATCCCCAGTACCTCCACTTAAAAACAAACAAATAAATAAACCTAATCACCCCCTGGGGAAAAAATTAATTAAAAAAGGATAGTAAAAAGATAACCCATAGGATGATATTTGTAAATCATATATCTGATAAGGGATTTGTGTCTGGGATATACAAATAACACTTACAACTCAATAATAAAAAGACAAGTAAGCCAGTTTAAAAATGGGCAAAGGGTCTGGATAGACATTCCTCCAAAGAAGATACACAAACAGCCAACAAGCACATGAAAA